AGAACATGACAGTTGCATGCGACAGTGTGTTGTGTCAGTCTTGCCATGTCACTATCAGCATATGATACGAGGCTTCTGCGGCAACAGGCTCCAAGGCTCCCTGGCTCACATAGGCTACTAGGTCCCAATGCCGCCTGCGAAAATGGCCGCAGCCGATCCTACAGCAGCCGCCGCAGATATGGCACCCACCATCATCGCCGAGCCGGAGGAGAACCCAGTGATAGAGACTCAGTCTCAGAGATCTTGGTCGCGTCTCGGCTACTGTGCGCTGAGGGCAAGTGACTACGCGAAGAGTGTGGAGGCGGCTTCCGAGTTTGAGAAGGATTCCTATTACGAGTCACCGGAGATCGGCTTCCGTGCCTTGTTTCTGGCGACGAAACTGCACGCCATCACATGGCAGCGCAAGGAAGCCATGCGCAAGTTGGGGGCGGCCCCGTCTGCTGCAGACAAGCCTGTGAAGGCGAAGCTGCGCTCATCGCGCCGCCAGCTGACAGAAGCCATTGGGGAGACCCAGTTCGTGCTTCTCACACTGTTCACCAAGAAAAATCTGGCCGAAGCGTGCTCTGCAAGAGACATTGTGGTGGAGGATGGCGGCTAATATGTTCCGCTGTTCTCGGATCCTTGCCAGGAGCTGCCTTTCCACGACGAGGCGAACTGGAGCCTTGAATTCGAGTACATCGGACGCCAGGAAGTCTTTTCATTTATTGTTATTTAATTTTATATTAATTATAGGCTCAGGGGTTCAGAGGTTCAGGGGTTCAAGGGTTCAGGGGTTTAGGGGTTTAGGGGTCCAGGGTATTGCGTCCGATCAAGGCACGTCATGGTGCAGGCCACGACCAGCCGCGCCTGGCAGACCCTTGCACCCGGGCCCGACCTTGGCGGGGGTTTGGGCTTCATGTGCTACACGGCGGTCAAGTCGGAGTAAGGCGGCGGCGGCGGCGGCTTCGACATTAGCAAGGAGGACACATCTGCCCTCGTGAACTTCTTGGCCCGGAACCACGTGTTCGCTGCGCAGGGGGATCCGTTCCTTCCGGATCCCGGTGCATCCCTGTTCCCGGTTTCTTCGTCCACGCACGCAGCGGCCACGTTGGGTTTTTTTTTTTTTTTTCAGCTCGACATGGACATGCTCGAGTTCAGCTGCGAGGGCGTCATCAACCAGTCACCGCCGGTTCTCCATCCGATGGGGTACTTCTGGATGCTCAAGGGCAATGACCTGGCAGAGCGGATCCGCACCGGCAACTTGAAGGTACGCAGGTCCGGGATCGAGATGGTCATCGTGAGCATGAGCACCCCCAGGAAGCACTCAGACATTCTCCTTGAGGCTCAGCGCTCCAAGCTGGTGGAGCACAAACGGCGCTTGAAGGAACAGGTGGACGTCTCCAACAAGCAGCTCCGCCGCGACCAGGATGCCCTCGCTGCCGTTGATGCCCAGCTGAGGCGTCTCCCAGGCTCCTAGGCTCCCAGGCTCCAAGGTCCCTGTGGCGCCGGCTTGGTGTCGTCATGTTTAGATGACTCATCAGCAGCATAGTAGGATTTTGATGCTTCCTTACTTTGCTGCCAACTTGATTTAAATGGACATGTAAAGCTCAAGCCGCTCGTCGACAAACTGTGGCAGGGCCCACGACTACAACGGACCGCTGTCGACGTCAGTTTGTGTTTGTTTGCAGCATGTCCTGCACTGCAGCAGTCTTATTGCCTTGCGCTGCACCGCAAGACTCCAAACGGTTCCGTGGAAGGCTACTCGGCTCCCAGGTTCCCAGGCTTCTGTACTCGCGCTCAATGGCAAAAGTGCCGGATTTGCCCACCGACCCAACCGTTCTGAGCTCAGCATTTTCGGAGCAGTATGACGTGTGTGATGATGATGTGTGGCACGCCATGTGAAGCAGGCCAGTGCTCAAGAAGCCCTGGCAAACATCGTGCCATGGGCCCTTCGCTGAGTTCTTGATACCGCGTCCCGTCTCGCGGCTAACAGTGCTGCATGCCGTGCCTGCCCGAGGTCCGCAGCCAGCTCCCTCTGAAGTTTCCGCAGGCCAAGCAGATGTTCAAGACACCGCCGCTTGCCATCAACGCAGAAGCCAAGATGGGGGATTTGACCGGATACAAGGCGGGCGCATGTCGATCAATGTCATTTATTATTGTTTGACCGTTGTCGTTTGTCAGGCTGTGTGGAGCAAAGATGACTGCCAAGCGTCCCTGACATCATCTGGACTTTACGAAGCCATTGGCCTCGCGCTGTGGCTGGCCACCGAAGCTTTTGCCAGTGCGTCTGAGGATGTGTGCTGGCAGGATCTCCAAACTTTCGAAGACGCTTTCTTCTCCAAGAAAGTTGCTTTCAGCACAGTTGTATCGCGTGAAGCTGCCAAGAAGAAACAAAAAACGTCACGAAACCGGCTGACGTGGCCTTGTGAGATGATTGTCCTCACGGAGTCAGCATCTGACGTGATTCACGAAGAGTTCAACAGCTCGTTGCATCTTGCTAGCGGCGTGTTTGTGTTGTGGGCTTGGTACTTGGCCGTCTTCAAAGCCCTAGTCTCCCAGGACAGTTGCTGCTTGTGTTCACATGCCATGACATGTTATTGATTCATCTGACTGATGTGTGCTTGCACTTGGCAGGACAAAGCAGTTTTGGAGATTTTGTGGGAGTGTGGCTGCACTGTCACGATACAGGTTCGCTTGTGTTCCAGCGCAGTGGAGATTGCGAAGAGTCGCAATCTTGCTTCAGAGAAAGTCAAGGCACTCGGGCACCCTGGCCTGTCCGACACCTTTTGGACATTTGCAAAGACTGTCCAGCTGCTCAAGGTCGAAAAAGTCCAGGATGGTGAGGAACAGAACTTGAGGTACAACAACACCGTGTACAACAAGGCCTTACACCAGGCTGCCACAGCAGCTGTTGCAGTGCTGCGGGGTCCATCCGGTCCCGTGGAGAAGGCTGCCCGGAGATTGGCGCTGGAATTTGGGCGGGGCATCTTGAGCAGTCAGTACTCGAAGTTGAGCAAGCTGTTATCGCTGACCAACAAGCTCGCATCTGCTACCAGAAACTCTGTAGACCTGACGGCCTGGATGATCGACTCCTTGACGCTGGCCCTGCGCATGAACATGGTCACGCCAGCGAAATGCACCGAGAAGTTTCTGGATCGAGACCGGAAGACAGGCGATGCTGGCTTTTGGTTGTCGCGCATGCTGGTGGTGCAGGCATTGTAACTATTCTGACTAGCGTGTGTATTTTTTTTTTTTGCGGAGTGTTGCAAGTCATCGGCAGCTTGAACACTGACAGAGGTCTTCGATTATGCAGCAAAGCTGGCGAACAAGTTGCCTGAGCCGGACAAGGTTAAGCTGACAGGGATTTTGGCTGAACTCCGTTGCCCTTTCACATGTTGGGAGAAATATCTCTGCCATGCTGATGCTGATCAAGGGGCTGCTGGAGAGGACGACATGGACGGCGAGGACCCAGAGGACGTGGAGCGCCCTGTTCCGCAGTCCAAGATTGGAGCTGTTAAAGAGGGTTTCAACAAGGCCATTGGCATGCTTTTGGATTTGCTGCTGGAGCTGATGTCGGGGAAGTACTACAAGGATTGCTGCATGCTGGCTTCGAGTGAAGATGGCCTTGCAAAGGCATTGACAGCTGCACAGCTTGGAAGCTCGGATGACACGGAGCACGAGGAGCCATGTGCGCTTATCACTCAGATGAAGATCATTGTCGACAAGTTCGACAACAGCACGAAGTCCGTTGGTGCCACATCTGCGGCTCCTGCTCCGAGTTTGCTCCAAAGCCTGGCCAAGGCTTCTGAAGCTGACACACCCGAGGAATGTGTCGAGCGTGAGCGGCAGTGGAAGGCGGTGCAAACGGAACGCCGCAAGTTCGTGTCGTTCTCGGTACCGAACAAGATCTCGAAGGACTGCCTAGTCAATGCGTTCAGATGTTGCGGCAAGGTCTTCACGCACAAGGGCACCTTAAACTCTTCGCACCGCCTGATCGTTGCCAGTGCGGATCTCTTGGCAGAGGCTGGTACCGACCCGTGGGTCAAGGGCACTCCGCCAAGCGAGGAATGGAAAGAGATCTGTGCCTTTGCCAAAGACATTTCTGGGCCCGAGGATTTCGTCGTACGCTTCGACGGCAGAATGCGGGAAATTCGCCGCGTGTCCGAGTCTTGGCGGGGTGATGTGACAAGGCTCCCAGGCTCCAAGGCTCAAAGGCTGCACCTGGTTCTTTAAGGAAGACCTCCTGCTGAACCAGCAGCACACCGAGGAGTGCACCATCGTGTACTCAGGTGGGTGCCCGCCGAGAACTGGTCGCACTCGCCGCGTTCCGCTGGCTGCAAAGAAGGTGGAGACAGGAGCGGTTAAGTTCCCGGTCGCACGCACCAAGATTCAGACGACGAAGAAAGGCTCCTTCACAGTCTGCGGCGAGGCTTCTACGTACCAAGGCACTTACTCAGGCGTGGAGTACCGTGCGGTTTCTGAAATGCCCCTCGTGTCTGCAGACACCAAGAAGAAGATCATTGCTCCGGCAACAACCGGCGACCTCCCGACACCGCCAGAGGACTGGCAGGATCGCCACGGCTCCGACGTACCCTTGTTCTGGAACGAGTCGAAGCCGATAGCAAAATGGAATGCCATCATTGAGGAGTTTTGCGCGGAGGCAGTGTTTGACCTCACGGCTGGCACCGGTGCTCTGATGGAGGCTTCTTTGACTGCCGGCATCGCATACCACGGGCTTTGCAGCACCCTTACTTGTCCAGTAGATTCGTCAGATCCTTGTCATTTGATTTTATTTAAATTATCCGAGGCCTCAACAAGGAGCACATGTCGTGGGTCCAGGCGGTTGCTGATCGCGCAGCTTGCGGAATGATTGCTTTGGAGGGATCCACTCTTTACTCGGACGAGAATGCCAAGGCGGTGAAGAAGCATTTCCCGCACGTTCTGGAGAGCTTGTCCAACCAAGACGACCAGGACGAGGCACCTGCTGAGCCGGATAGCCCCCGCGATCAACCGCAGTGATGATGTTTCACTTCGACCGAATCCGCCAGCTCAGGCACCAGCTCAGGCACCTAGGCTCCCAGGTTCTCAGGCTCTTGACCTTTTGCCGGGCTCAGTTTTGTCAGTAGTGTGTAGCAGTGACTACTGTCGCCTGAAAAAGCCGAAATGCTCTTATTGTGGCATGACATTGAAATAATCGCCGAGGATGTTGTTGTAGTCGCCTGAATGCATTAAAGCGAGCCGTTATGGCCCCAGGTTCCCAGGCTCTGAGGTTCCCTGCTTGGGTTCGACATGGGCTGCCGATGGAGGCCTACCAGACGCCTCTGGGGCAAAACCAGTCTCAAGACGGCTTCTCGTCGGTGGCCCCGGGGGTGCCAGCATGGTGGCAGCAAATCGCAGAGCTTGCGGAAGCAGGCTGTGAAAGACGGCTTGGTCCCCAAGGCTCGAAGGGCCTTCGTCATCTGGTTCCAGGAAAACTCCGAAGTCAAGAAAGGCGCTCCCAAGCCCGAGTTTCTCAATGAGATGAAGCATCTTGGCGCAGTCTGGCAGGGCATGACCGACAAGCAGAAGGCACCATTCATGGCGAGGAGCAAAGATGAGTTCATTGCTCAGCGAAGTGCACTGGCCGTTCTTGGCATCAGGATGCGGGGCTCCACGACCAGTGCGGGCGGCCCCGACGAGGCGAAGGACCCCCCTGCCGCTGACGAATCTGGCGGTCGCGTTGGCCCATTTGAGCTTAATGGTGCAAGGGCTCCAATTGGAGGCGGAGCCTATGGCAGTGTCTACAGTTGCCAGCATCCGCAAAGCGGCCTTAACGTGGCGGTGAAGGTTTATCGTGGCTCCGATGGCCCCGCGGATTGCAGGCACGAAGTGGAGCAGATGAAGCTTCTAACGAAGGCCGTTCCGCAGCAGAAGACGATGTGGTTCCCGCTTCTTGTCAGCTCGGGTGTCACGGGCAGACCTTGGCCATGGATGGCTACTAGCCTATGTGGGCCCAGCCTGGCAACCGCACTTCGAAATCCTGCGGCGCATGGCAAGCCGAGGACGTGGTCTGTGGCAGCTCAGCTGAGAAGTGCACTGCAGACCTTGCATGACGCAGGCATCCTACACTTGGATGTGAAACCTGGCAATGTTCTTTGGTGCCCTTGCACAGATCAGGTGCAGGTGTGCGACTTCGGCATGAGTGAGAACATGGCACGGCTCCAGAAGGCTTCTCATGCTCCCAGGTTCCTGCAGTATGTCACGGCTGCCTATCGACCTCCGGAGCTGTGGCCCGCTCGTGTGAATGGCGATGGAGGCTGCGGTGTCAGAAAGCAGCTGCTGACTGCAGCTGTGGATATGTGGGCCTATGCTTGCGTGGTGTTTGAGGTGGAGACCGGGAATCCCTTCATGCCCAGGGGGGAGGCCGGACTGAGAGCGTGGTGCAAGCAGTGGCCCGAGCTGTGGAAAACACGCAGCGACTTAGCCAATTGCCCCGCTGCAAGTCACACGTGCTGCACAAAGGTGCTTCGAGCCGGTAAATGGGGGCTGTTTGTGTTGGTCTGCTGTGCTCCAGACCCCGGAAAGCGGCGGTGGCCGGAGCTCTGTCTGAATCAGAAATGA